CTTTTCAACGGGGGTATTCTGCACATCCTGCCATGTCTTCTGGTCTCATGTGGTGTTATTTCTGTGTGCAGGTTTGGGACCAGCCCCTCAATTATTTTCCACGTGTAAATTATTATGTATCTCTCCCGCCTGCGCTCAAGGGAGTACAGATTTAGGCTCTTTAGTCGGTCCCAGTAATTTAGATGTTTTACTGAGTGGATTCTAGCAGTAAAGGATCTCTGCTTGATCTCTGCTGATCTGCTATCTATCTCTGCTCTGCTATCTCTCTGCTGATCTCTGAGGTTGTGTAGCACCGTCAAAAGTGCGGGATATTCAAAAGGCGCTAAATATCACTATGGATGCCAATACGAGAGCAAAAGCGCATAAGGCGAACGATATCATAGGTATCCGATTCACCAAGGATACTATCCAGGGACAGGTGACCGCAAGGGACGGTCGGGTAGCAAGAGAGAACATCCTAGAAGTCAGGATATTCACCAAGGATATGCACGACTGTAAGAGGGACAATGCAGTTTGGACAATAGAGAGCAGGGCGGCGCTCCATTAAGTGTCCGTGAGTTAAGCGGGTATGGCCAATACATAACCTTGCCAGAGCCGTTTCCCACCGCCGGTTACGGCTTCTATAACATAGGTTATAAAAGTAATATTTATTTTAACTTCGTTACACAAAATGGGTTACAACATTGGTTACATGAAGACTATAGACGGAGTCCTCCAGTACACGCTGGGATATAATGGTTGACTTGACGGTACTATTTGGAAAATATAAGGTCAAATACCAGTCATAATAGTTCCTTATAATACCGAAATACCGACCCACAACACGGTAATGGCATAATTAGATAAGATTACAACATATTGCGTAAAATGAATAATATATCAGAGTATCAACAGTCTTGTCTACACAGGAAAACACCAAATGGTTTACTTGAAGTGATACGATAAGATATCATTTTTGACAGTTGCAGCCGAGAGTGAGAGATAGCAGCAGCGGCATGATAGCGAGTCTCTAGTGGCCACAATATCCAAGAGCAACGTCACAAACCTTCATTCAATGATAAATGAATGTTGAGTCACCGTCGAACACCACTCTTGGTTACTAGGGTCTCTTGTTGTTGCGATAAGCCAGCAACCAAGATCCTTGAGAAGCTTCCTTGCACTCCCTCCCCATGGAACAAGAAGCTCGGATGCTACTGGAACGAAGTTGCAATAGGCCTTCTGCAGTTACCTTCATTCTTATGTTCTGAAATACCGGTGTTCTATTTCCCTGTACCTGGTTAACTTCTGTGTGTGTGTTGGGGGAGGATGTCTGCGACTCGTGCTTGGCTGATAGTATGTGGCTGCCAAGATGGATACGCAAGTATATACTCATGCTAATTGTCTGCCATTTTGCTATGAGCGCTTTGCGATTCTATGTAGCCGGTTAGAGAAACTAACAGGAGTTATGGTTCACTAGGTTGCGAGGCGCTCTCTCTGCTGGACACTGGGCCGAAGTAGAGCTCTTCTTAATGATGTCGTTGACTTCGTCGTGTCGTGAGTGCCAACCACCTGAGATTATATACATTATATATATAATGGGTAGCCCATGGGGGTAAAATTTGAGGTAGCCGTGTGAGAAGGAAAGGTGAAGGGAAAGAATGTTTTAAGTGACCATGGAAGTGTGCGTGACTACAGTGGTCCCTCGGGTATCAGTCAGCGTTACACACACACACACACACACACACACACACACACACACACACACAACCAAGGCGGACAGGACAACATTATTATCTGGAAGATAACAAACAAGGTGAGAACGTGAAACCGATACCTTAAGATAAATAATTATGAGAAGAAGGCACCAAGCCGGGAAGACTATGTAGCACCATCATAAGAATAATAAATTTAACGGCACAAAGTTTATTGGCCCCAACAAGGCAACTCCAATTTATATCCACCCAAACTCGTTCATATATGTCTAACCTATGCTTGACATGGTTATCCCATGGTTATTATTTCCCTCGGTAATTTGTTCCATAATTCATTAACACCCATATTCTCAAACCAGTATTTACCCAGGTTTTTTTTAAGTTTATTCAATTTATATCCATTGTTTCATGTTTTTATGTTTTGTTGATATATTTAACAACTTTTTTATCCTCTTTTTTTTATATCTTTTCATCCCTTTATAAACATCAGTCATATAAACCTTTAACCTTCGCCTTCCTATATAATGTTCACAAGGCTTTTCCAGTTACTTTTGCTGGGATTTATTGTCATCCTTATCTGCACACTTATAAGTGCACTGTCGTCACTTCTAAAGTGCCATGACCAAAAACTGAACTGCTGGACCCAAGTGAAACAGCAAGATAAAAATAAAGCTGAAGTATATCACTGGGTTATTGGTGACGGTTCTCGATAGGAATAAAAGTATCGTGTTTGCCTATTTCAAACATTTATGCATTGGTTTGTGTGCTGAATCACGACTCCCAGGCTATTTTCACATTCAGATTGGTCAATTTCAGCACTGTCTAGCTGATAACTATCATATCCTAGATTACGCACCAAATATTTGCCACCATTAAACTGCATTAGTCAATTTTAATAATATAATATCCATCTACTATATACCGTATAGGATAAAACCCCACACTTGTATATTTGTGAGATTTATGTAAGGAAATTACACCAAATCTTTCGCACTCTCCCGAGTGCTTTGTTAAAGTCTGTGTGTGTGATTTCAACGTGACATCTCAATGTCAATGATGACATCTGAGGGTGATGTATCTCAACGACTAATTGATTAGTCGTTGAGATCTAAGTCTCGACTACACCACACACACACATCTTGACAAAGCACTCAGGAGAGTGCGAAAGACGAAAGGTGAAAATCTTTACATCAATTTCCCAAATTACATAATAATAGCATAAAAACCCATACTTATGTCTTCGAGAAGACATTATCTTGAGATGATTTCGGGGCTTAGCGTCCCCGCGGCCCGGTCCTCCTTTGCCGGGTACCAGCCAGTACCATCCTGGTCGTGCACACACCCAGCTTGGCGGTACCCCAGCGGGATGAGTGAAGCATGTATTGTGAGGAACCTCACACCTCACTGCCTGGTGAGCGCCTCGCTCCCACTAAACAATAACTATTGACAGCTGCCATGGCTGCCTGAGCGAGGTCTCATCATGTGTTGCTTCTTATTAGTAAAGAAGCACTACGGGCTCACCATAGCCCGTGCTACTTGGAACTTTTTGTTCCAATTAGCGAATCTTTAACAACAACAACAGGTAAAGAAGCACTTATGTCACCAAGTAGTGAGACCCCGAGCACTCGGTACCAACCATGTAACGTAACATACACCATTATATTAATATTCCTAATCACCTTAATTTTAGCAACTCGTCTAATATACCAATATATTGTACAAGTCCAGTCGCCCATTTCTTACTCTTCCCGTCTCCACTGTCTGTCTACATAACGACTGTTGCGTGTGTAATGATGCAAGATCACACACACTAGCAATAACACAATGCACCCAGTCATCAGCCGAGGGATCATGGCAATAATTTGCATAGCCAATCACTGTACAGTTGACGAGAATGTATGTAATCTATATTGTGCGCGCGCATATAAACCTAATAGTACTTAGCTTTAGTAACTGGTACAACGTTACTATTTGGTCACTGCCTCGGGGCTGTGCACTGGTCTCCAGCACCTATTGCTCTGCTCCGCTCCTACTGGCCAGTACTCACTCCTTGAGCGTACTCACCTAGTTGTGCTTGCGGAGGTTGAGCTCTGGCTCTTTGGTCCCGCCTCTCAACTGTCAATCAACACCTGTCAATCAACTGGTGTACAGGGTCCTGAGCATATTGGGCTCTATCATATCTACACCTGAAACTGTGTATGGAGTCAGCCTCCACCACATCACTGCCTAATGCATTCCATTTGTCAACCACTCTGACACTAAAAAAGTTCTAATATCTCTGTGGCTCATTTGGGCACTCAATTTCCACCTGTGTCCCCAAGTGCGTGTGCCCCTTGGGTTAAATATCATGTCCTTATCTACCCTATCAATTCCGTTGAGAATCTTGTATGTGGTGATCATGCCCCCCTAACTCTTCTGTCTTCCAGCGACGTGAGGTTTAACTCCCGTAGTCTCTCCTCGTAGCTCATACCTCTCAGCTCGGGTACTAGTCTGGTGGCAAACCTTTGAACCTTCTCCAGTTTAGTCTTATGCGTGACTAGATATAGGGCCAGATTCACGAAAGTACTTACGCAAGTACTTACGAACGTGTATATCTTTCCTCAATCTTTGAGGGCTTTTGTTACATATATTAAACAGTTTACAAGCATAAAAGCTACCCATTCAACTGTTGTTATTGTTATAAACAGCCTCCTGGTGCTTCGGGGTTCATTAACTGTTTAATAATAGGATACAAAGTCGCCAAAGATTGAGAAAAGATGTACAGGTTCGTAAGTGCTTGCGTAAGTGCTTTCGTGAATCTGGCCCATGGACTCCATGCCGGAGCTGAGCTGGAGCGCCTCGTCTGGGTCTCCCGCCTCCACCTGCGTCCGCTTGGCCTGCTTCTCTCTCCTTGGTACACACTATAATTATCTACTTTTCTTGCGTCTCTCACCAATTTGCGAGTAGGAACCATTTCTCCTCCAGTGTTTGTAGTTTCAGTTTGTCTATATTATCCTCACCTGGCCTAGTGTATACAATGGGCTCAATGGCAGTGTCCAATAAGTACCTACGGGATCACCATAGCCCGTGCTACTTGGAACTGTTTGTTCCAAGTAGCGAATCTTTAACAACGGCAGTGTCCAGGGCTTACCAGACTCACCAACGGGCCGGACAGGTTACCATAACGGAACAGTTGTATAAGGCAAGACACAAAGCCTATTCTACAAACTAAAGCAACTGAATATCTAGCATGTGGAACACCTAACTGCCGGAACACCCAACTAGCGGAACACGAGGTGTGCACACCGGGTGCTGGTTGTTCTCCAGTGTTCACTCTCCGTACCTGCTAGTAATGCCCCGGTGAACACAAGTAATTATCATGACTGGTGACTGTGGGGGGATGGGGCGTGCCCCGCCTCGGCCAGCACCGCCCCGGCCAGCACCGCCCCGGCCAGCACCCCGCACCGCCTCGGCCAGCACCGCCCCGGCCAGCACCGCCTCGGCCAGCGCCGCCCCGGCCAGCACCGCCTCGGCCAGCACCGCCCCGGCCAGCACCGCCCCGGCCAGCACCGCCCCGGCCAGCGCCGCCCCGGCCAGCGCCGCCCCGGCCAGCACCGCCCCGGCCAGCACCGCCCCGGCCAGCGCCGCCCCGGCCAGCACCGCCCCGGCCAGCACCGCCCCGGCCAGCACCGCCCCGGCCAGCGCCGCCCCGGCCAGCGCCGCCCCGGCCAGCGCCGCCCCGGCCAGCGCCGCCCCGGCCAGCGCCGCCCCGGCCAGCGCCGCCGCTCCCCTGTGTGGAATGACTGCTTTAATTTTGGGAGGGGAGAACTATTGCTGCATTTTAACTACCTGTTACTGCTCCTACTAGTGTTCCTCTGGCAACTATGATGGCGGCTGTTGCTTCACATATGTTACATTAGTACTACTGCTGATGCAGCGGCTGCTCGTAATGCTGTTACCGCGAAGTCTTACCGTTACGGCTTGTACTTGTGTGCTAGTTGCTACTGTTCGTTATCTCTCTACCACAGCCTTAACATTTACTACAAATTAAAAAAAACATTAATTTACTACAAATATTAGTTATGTAATACCAATATTTATAACACAAGACGCTCGCCGTGTAAATTGTCTCCTTGATATTGTAACAATTGTTTTTTTCAGCATTGATCACTAATCATTGTATAAAATATCTTGGGACCAGTAACTCAGACCTGACTGTCGTTTTCTCAGACCTTGGTAAGTGGAGAGTCGTGTTGGACCAGCGTCTCGGGGCCCTGTGGCTCAGCTCCCGGCCCCCGCCCCACCACCCACTCCCAGACACTCATTTCCTACTGCCCCTCCACACAACCACCCATCTGCCAGAACTGAATAAAGGACAGAGGTGTCCAACAAGACTAGTGCCAGAACTAAGAGGACTAAGCTACGAGGAACTCTCACCATCCTAGAGGAGAGGTGCATCAGATGGGATAGACTGGCTCAACCTGTTCTCGCACTTGCTTATTGTCAATATTGGCTTATTTAATAAGTGCATATGTGACATACTAATTGATTGTGAATATTTTAGTTTACCTTGAAAAGCTTCATAGAAAACACCGACCTTACCTAACCTTCTTAGTATGTTAAGATAAGCATCTTATTGCTTCTTAATTACAATTATTACTTAACCTATACCGTTCACTGGCTACAAGATATTCATTATATTACCCTACATAATCTAATTACATAGGGTAATAATTACCCTAATCTGGTTTGATGAAGAATTCAAACAACTTAAGATACGAAACCACACAGGCACAACAAGGGAAGCCACAGGGAGCTAAATCTAACTCCCAGGTAGTGAGTGGTAGTTAAGCACATGATTAGCACCACCACCTGAACTACCAGGTACACTACCAACCCCCCTTTAGTCCCCCCCCCTCGCTTTCTCCTCTCATTATCTCCCGCCTAAACCTCAGCATCCTGTAATCCCAATACAAAACACCAACATGAGACCCTCCCTCTTCCTGCAAGCTAAGAGGACAACACCGGTTTACACTGGTACCCTTTCACTGACGCAGTGGTACAATGAATAAGTGGCAGTGGTACAATGCAGTGGTGCTGCAGTGGTACAGTGAAGATACAGTGGGTAATAGCATAGTTAAAACAGTGGTAGGGTAAGCGCAGCAGTACACTGTATTGGAAGAGTGAATACACCGATATAATGAACGGTAAAGTAAGGTAGAAGTGTTGATACAATGATACCACACCCACACATCAGAACATAAAGGGAACCAACAACGTTTCGGTCCGTCCTGGACCATTATCAAGTCGCGTACACGACCGAAATGTCGCCTCTTCCTTTATTCCCAGATGTGTGGAACTGGGTGTCAACTTTCGGCCCCGTTATTGTGCCTTGCTGGCTGCACGATACAAGGAGCATCAGGGTGAACACACGTCACTAAATGAACCTGACACTTGAATTATAAGTCACAATGTGGGAGGAAATGTTCGATACAATTATATGATTACACAGTTGTATGCCATCACTACAATAGTGAACAGTGCCATGTGGTGCTGGCGAGAACAGTGCCGCGTGGTTATACCAGACTGTTCGTGAACGCATCTCGCAGCTCCGTCTCGTCCTCAGTAGATGATGCCAAGATCAGGATGAAAACCTCTTCGGGTCAATAACAAACTACACACACACCCATCTCCCAGTGGCCAGCCACGAGGCACAAGGGAATTTTCAAGAGGAAAGCGTCAAGCCATTACGACTATATAGCACAGGGAAGGGGGTCTGGATAAGGATTTGGGATAGGACGGGGGGGGGGAAGGAATGGTGCCCAACCACTTGTGGACGGTCGGGGATCGAACGCCGACCTGCATGAAGCGAGACTCGTTATTAGTCCTGGATCATTTGACCTCTCTTAAGGTAATGATCCGGGACTAACAACGAGACCTCCTAACCTTCAGTCGGCACAACGTAGCTAAGATAGCATCAGCAAAGTGTAATGATAAGAGTGGATTATGACAGCCCTTCAGGACAATGGCCGCCGCCGCCGCCGCCGCTGCAGTAGGGAGGTTGTAGGGCCTCTCTTTATCAGTCTCGTTAGATTCCTTCTTGTGATATTGTGGAGTTGTGTGGCTTCATGGCTGCCTGGAACAGGAGAGGCAGAAAGGAGAGACAGAGAAGAGGAGAGAGAGAAGAGGCAGCGAGAAGAGGCAGCGAGGAGGGGGGAAGAGGCAGTAGAGAACAGATGTGGAGATAAGATAGGCGAGATTAACAAGTTGATAGTTACACAAAGGAAATAACAGTCAAGTTGAAATTAGATGGTGAAGAATGGTGGACAGAGAACGGAGAGCAACAGCGGTGAAGGAGGAAGGACAAGTTGACAGTGGTGGAGAGGTAGAAGGTTGATAAGCAATGGTAGATGGATGGATTGACAGTGGTAGATGAGTAGGAAGGTAGAGTGACAGATGTTGGGATGTAGGAAGTGACAGGTTAAAAGGTTATCAGGTAAAATGTGTGTGAGTCTGGTAGGGTGGAGATGGTCACCATGGCAACTGTGAACCCTGCGATGCTCACTTTTATACCACCACCCACTGGCTACACCTCCTACTGCCTACACCACCCACTGGCTACACCTCCCACTGCCTGCACCACCCACTGCCTACACCACCCACTGGCTACACCTCCCACTGCCTACACCACCCACTGCCTACACCACCCACTGGCTACACCTCCCACTGCCTACACCACCCACTGGCTACACCTCCCACTGCCTGCACCACCCACTGCCTACACCACCCACTGCCTACACCACCCACTGCCTGCACCACCCACTGCCTGCACCACCCACTGCCTGCACCACCCACTGCCTACACCCCCCACTGCCTACACCCCCACCACCACCCACTGCCTGCACCACCCACTGGCTGCACCACCCACTGCCTGCACCACCCACTGCCTGCACCACCCACTGCCTACACCCCCCACTGCCTACACCCCCACCACCACCCACTGCCTGCACCACCCACTGGCTGCACCACCACCAGCTGCCCCATACAAACCGCTGCCAACTTGACCAAATGAGTAGACTTTCTGAATGTGACAGAGGGCGGAGTTAAAGTTTGGCTGCTAGTTAAAGGTTTAATTTTAGAAAGACAGTAGTGGACTGGATAGAGGGGAAGAGCGACTACGTTAAGTCTATTTTGTTATAAACCTTCCTGTCTCCACGGCTCTATACCCGTCTCTACGGCTCTATACCTGTCTCCACGGCTCTATACCCGTCTCTACGGCTCTATACCTGTCTCCACGGTTCTATACCCGTCTCCACGGCTCTATTCCCGTCTCCACGGTTCTATACCCGTCTCCACGGCTCTATTCCCGTCTCCACGGCTCTATACCCGTCTCCACGGCTCTATTCCCGTCTCCACGGCTCTATACCCGTCTCCACGGCTCTATTCCCGTCTCCACGGCTCTATTCCCGTCTCCACGGCTCTATTCCCGTCTCCACGGCTCTATTCCCGTCTCCACGGCTCTATTCCCGTCTCCACGGCTCTATTCCCGTCTCCACGGCTCTATACCCGTCTCCACGGCTCTATTCCCGTCTCCACGGCTCTATACCCGTCTCCACGGCTCTATTCCCGTCTCCGCGGCTCTATTCCCGTCTCCACGGCTCTATTCCCGTCTCCACGGCTCTATTCCCGTCTCCACGGCTCTATTCCCGTCTCCACGGCTCTATTCCCGTCTCCACGGCTCTATACCCGTCTCCACGGCTCTATACCCGTCTCCACGGCTCTATACCCGTCTCCACGGCTCTATACCCGTCTCTACGGCTCTATACCCGTCTCCACGGCTCTATACCTACATAATATTATGATAAATTAAATGATACTCTTGCTAGTACCTCCAAAACACAGCAATAGTTATAATTATCAACTATTTGTCTATTAAATTCAAAGAAATAATATTTGTAGAAGTATTTAATAATATTTGTTGAAGACACTTCCTGCAACAGTCTCCGTTGCACGGTGATCTGATAGAGAAGTGTGCCTGCGACCACAGGAATTTCGTTCATCTCTGATCAAGCCTCACTGTTGGTGGTCCAGTTAACCAGGCTGTTAGACACCGCTGCTCTGAGTGGGTCTGTAACCTCCAGAGCTTGTTGCTGACCATCTTGTGTACACACATGGATCATTTTTGCCAAATGAACAAATCCACAAGGGCCGTGACGAGGATTCGAACCTGCGTCCGGGAGCATCCCAGACACTGCCTCATTTTTGCCAATCCACACTCCTAGGTATGTGTAGTCTGCTTCCCAATCCAGTTCTACATTTCGCAGGTCATGGGTATTTCAGCTCCGAATCTTAAATACTAATTAAAAGGCCTTTTGATTTTCAGTGGATATTTTAATTGTTAATTCGAGATAACTTTGTAATATACTATTGAACGTTTATTGTGCTCCTTCAAGGACGTGACCTTATCTTGCTAGGACCACTCCAGTTCTCGGCCTAGCCAATAAGACTCGGGTGGTTGTAGCGTGACCTAAAACGGTTATTTTTTTATCAAGATGTTGAACGGCACTGGACTAAGTAATGCATATATTTAATAGTCATGTGATGTATGCTGCGTGGCATACTGGTGCGCGCCCCCAGCACCCACCACCTGTAGAGGTGGCCTCACACAGGTGGGAGCCTACCTGTCCTTGCAAGGAGGAATTTAAGGCGTCACCAAGGTAGCAACTCCAGCACCGCCCTCACAACCTCCTACCCCCGTCCAGGCACCAAGAGGCCCGCCCACGCTCACAG